GCACAAGTTCAAGGCCACAAGGCTAGTTCACATGCAAGAGTAGATATATATATCAGGCTAGACAAGCAAGAGCAGGTGTATATATATTTGTAACAGTACAAGCAAGGTCAAGAGGTGAGCAAGTGCGGCAAGACAGGTTCAAGACCCAGCTGGGTGCAGAAGCGCTGATGATCACAAGGCGCAAGTGCCTTGGTCAAGACATCAGCAGTGTTGGCCTCAGAGGCCACGTACGGAAGCCGCAACTGACCACGCTGCTGTAGCTCACGAGCAAGGAAGTAGCGAAGAGCAATGTGCTTTGTTCTGTGCTCTAGTCTCTGCTCTGGACACAAGGCCAGCATGGCCTTGTTGTCTATGTACAGGACTGGAGGAGAACGAGGCGGCTCTCCAAGGTCTATCAGAAGATACGTGAGCCAGCGAAGCTTTTGAGCAGCCATGGCCCCTGCGTAGATCTCAGCCTCACAACTGGAGCCGAGAACAGAAGACGAGCGAGTAGCCCGCCACGAAACAGAGCCGGAACCAAGGCTGAAGGTGTAACCCTGTGACGACCGCTGCGTAGCCTGGTCGTCAGCCCAAGAAGCGTATGCGTGACCAGTGAGGACCACTGGACTCCGCCCTCCAAGCACTAGCCCCATGCCCGACGTACTGCACAAGTAGCGCAACACCCTCTTTGCTGCAGCCATGTGCTCTGGTCGGTGTCTCCCAGGAGCAACATAGCGTGCGAGAATGCTAAGAGGGTATGCAAGGTCAGGTCGTGTGCAGGTCATCAGGTACATGAGGCAGCCAACAAGCGATGGATACGGGCCACTCGACTCTACGGACTCATCCGAAGGCAGAGCTGAGAGCGAGTGGCGAGTAGGCAGAGGAGTGGCCTGAGGTGAGGAGTACGTGAAGCCGAAGCGATGAAGGACCTGCTGCACCATGTGTGACTGAGTCAGGGTGATGGTGCGGCGTGCTCTGTCCCGGGTGATCTGCAAGCCAAGGTAGCTGCGCAGTTCACCAAGGTCTGTGCACGTCTGTCTCTTCTGTAGCTCGGACTTCACGTAGGCGAGTCTAGCAAGGTCAGCTGTGGCAAAGACCAAGTCGTCGACGTACACGAGGATGTAGAACGGCGGCAGAGAAGTGTCGGTGCGTAGAAAGAGCGACGGGTCGGCAGTAGAGGGAGCAAACCCAAGAGCCGCAAGCGTAGTTCTCAGTGTGTCGTGCCACTCTCGAGGTGCCTGGCGGAGACCGTAGACTGGCCGCCGGAGGCTCCACTGGGTGCCAGGAGGAAAAGTCCCAGTGAAGCCAAGTAGGCGGCGCAGCCAGATCTCCTCGTGCAGGCTGCCCTGTAGGAAAGCAGTGTTGAAGTCAAGAGAGTGTAGCTCGTAGTCACGGTGAGCAGCTACGTGTAGCAGTACCCGAAGAGTGGTCATCTTTGGGGTGGGAGAGAAGGTCTGAAAGTAGTCAACTCCCTGCCGCTGACTGAAGCCACGAGCCACGTAACGCGCCTTGAAAACAGGCGGAGAACTCGGCGGCCGCTTCACCCTGAAAATCCACATGCCACTGACGATGTTCGCCCCAGGAGGGGGGACACCGACAACGTAGGTGCCTGTGGACTTCCAGGAAGCCATCTCTGCATCCATAGCTGCCTGCCACTGAGAAGAGTAGGGACCCTCTATCGCCTCCGCGTAAGAGCGCGGAGTCGGGATGTCAAGTGCATCCGGGTCTCCCTCAGGGGTAAGCAGTACGGACACGAGATGAGGTGAAGCAGAAGCCAAGCACTGGAACTCCTCCTGCCTGTCCTCAAGGACGTCCGTGCCAAGGGCACACTCACCCTCGACGGACGGAGGACAGACAGACTCAGACTCAGCGACAAGACTAGCAACGTAGTCTAGGCGACAGCGAGCAGCAAAGTCGACGAGCTCAGCAACTAGGGCAGACGCAGCAGTGGACTCAAAAGAAGGGTGAGTGACGACAGTAGCAAGGAGACGCGTGACAGTAGGACTGGCAGCACGAAGAGAGTCCGACTCCGGGTCGGGAAGAGCAGGAAGAGAGGACTCAGGAGGAGAAGGCAAAGGGGCACGCAGAGGAGCAGTGGACAGACGCAGAGACATCCGGTGCGTGCAAGGGACAGGAGGAGGACGCTGATGCGAACCGCAACCACTAGTGCGAGTAGTACGGACAGGCGACGCAGGGCGAGACGTAGGCTCACGACGCTCAGCAAGACCGCCAGTAGGCCCAGTGTAGGGAGAAAGAGCAGGCAGTGGGGAGGTGGGCTGTAGCTCTAACTATGACTGGACAGGCTGTGGACACTCTGAGGGAGGAGGAGGACCGGGAGAAGGCGGGAGACCAAGAACCTGCTGAAGGAGCGGAACGAAGTACGGCCGTCGCCGTGCAGCGACTCCAGAACCAGCAGAGTCACCAGTGCCAGGATCCTTAGCACTAGCAGCAGCTCGAACTTCCGGGTCCTCACCACCAGCAGCAGCTCCAACTCCCGGGTCCTCAGCACCAGTAGCAGCTCCAACACCCGGGTCCCCAGCACCAGCAGCAGCTCCAACGCCCGACTCCACAGCACCAGCAGCAGCACCAGCTCCAGGGTCCTCAGCACCAGCAGCAGCTCCAACGCCCGGGTCCTCTGTACCAGCAGCAGCTCCAACGCTCGGGTCCGCAGCACCAGCAGCAGCACCAGCAGCACCAGGGTCCGTGACACCAGGCGCGCCACTCCAAAGAGTGCAGCGCCGCTCGTACCACTCACGGATCTGCTCACGGGAGGGGAGCTCCCGGCTAGGAGGAGAAGCACTAGCACCAGCCCCAGGAGTACGCCTGGCTCCACAGGTACCTCTCCTGAGGCTGCAGTACTGTAAGTACCACTCACGCAGCTGCTCCGAGGAGAGGGCTCCTCCAGGTGTAGGACTCTCAGGCACAGGGCCTCCAGAATCAGAACCCCCAGACTCCGGACTCCGCGGCTCAACACCCCCAGGCTCAGTACCCCCAGGCTCCGCACCCCCAGGCTCAGCACCCCCAGGCTCAGCACCCCCAGGCTCAGCACCCCCAGGCTCCGCACCCCCAGGCTCAGCACCCCCAGGCTCAGCACCCCCAGGCTCAGCACCCCCAGGCTCCGCACCCGCAGCAGGACGAGAGTCGACAGCTACCTCAACTGGCTCAACCGGGTCTACCTGAGACACACCTGAGGGAGCGGCACCCTGAGGGGGGAGGGGGTCTACGACAGCACCAATTGGCGCGAGGAAGAGAGGTGGGGGGGGGAGCGGGGCAGTGCGGTAGGGGAAGAGGCGGTAGTAGGGGACGGACTCGTCAAAAGTGACGTCCTGAGAGGGCAAGACTCGGCGCGAGGTGGCGTGGTAAAACTGCCAACCAGGCGCGTCCGGGACAAAGCCGAGGAAGACGCAGGGAACAGCACGGGAGGATAGCTTGTCCGCAGACGTATCGCGGACAAAATCTCGAGATCCCCAGACCCGGAAACGCAACGCATCGCCAACCACCCGGTCCACAGCAGTGTGGGCGAGGTCTCCGGCAAGGAGACACGGGGCTAGAGGCTGAGCCGATGCGCAGCGTATCGGACCGCAAACGGCCACAGAAAGTGGGGGGCAGCCGCATGGATCAAGGAGGTATGAGCGACCTCCATGACCAGGCCAATGCGGCGCTCCGCAACCCCATTCTTCTGTGGAGAGGCCAGAAGCGTGAACGACTGCTCAATGCCGTGCTCAGCACAGTAGGCTGCCAAGAGGTCGGAGGAGAACTCACCACCTCTGTCAGAGTGCAAGCGTAGGACAGGAAAGTCCGAGCGGAAACGCTCGCTGAGCTGGAGACGGGCTCTGCGGATCCAAGGGATCAAGACATCAGGGACCTCACCCTTGGTGAGCAAGGGGAAGACCGTGGTGTAGCGCGAGTAGTCGTCAACAACTATCAGGAAGTACCTCTCCTGACGCTGACCACGGACGCGGGCTGGGCCCCACACGTCCATGTGGAGCGTCTGCAAGGGAGCAGTCGTCGGGGGAAACGAGGAGGAGTGAGGAGCGGCGCGCTGCCGCCCCTCGACACAGGGAAGACATGGAGGAGCAAACGAGGGTGGGAGGGGAGGGAGGACCCTGGGAAGACCAGAGACAAGGTACCGGGAGTGCATGGCACGAAGGCGCTGCACAAACGGGTGGCCCAGTCGGTGGTGCCAGAGGACAGTCTCGTGCACCAGAGAGCGACATGAGCAGGGGGCAGACAACTGACCTGACGCGGACGCAGACGCAGACGCAGCTACCTGAGGGGACCTAGTGGTCAGTGTGTAAAGGTCCGACCCCGATTGCCGAGTGAAGGTAGCCAAGTGGCGGCTTGTACGAGCACACGTGCAGTGTGTCACACGCTCGTAGGCAGGGGTGAACTGGTGAACATCCCTGTCCTGGAGTGCACAACCTGCCACCAAGTTTGTAGAGAACGAGGGGAGGTGGAGACCTGACAGTGTGCCCGACGGGACTGCAGGACAGGGAAGGACAGTGGAGGAGGTCGCAATGTCCGGACCCCCAGAGGGGTCAGCGAGGGAGACAACAACTGGCCGAGCAAGTGGCTCAAGGGCAGTGCGGTCACGAAAGAAGCAGCGAGAAGCACCTGAGTCTAGTGTGAAGGTGTGCAGTGTTGCAGTCGACTCAGTACCAGGGGGGGCAGACGCGCAAGCACCTAGAGCAACTGCCTCACCAGCACCTGGGGTAGCAGACACGCGAGTACCTGGAGCGGCAGACGCACTAGTCCTAATGCCCAGGTCGGGCGGGACACACAGGTACTCAGCACCCTCTCCACTAGTAGACATCACATACATAGCAGTGAGAATAGCATCAAAGTCTAGAGCATAGATATCAATCCCCTTCTTCAGGAGATCAACCCAGCGGGGCAGCTCAGTGGCCTGAGGGAACTGAACACGCCAAGCGACGTTGAGACGAGCGAAGCAGCGATGTGTGGCGTGCGGTCCCCCACACGGCTGGCCAGTGCGGTCACCAGTGCGAATGACGTACGTGCAGCTAAAGCCACCCCCCCCCCCCGTACTGAGAGTACCACTCACGGACCTCTTGGGGCGACGGAGTGTGCTGCTGGCCCTGGCCACCGCCAGCGCCTCCACGACCACCACCGCCGCCGCCACCTCCTCGACCACCCCAACCCCTGCCGCCGCCGCGTCCGCCGCCACCCCCACCACCACCTCCGCCCCGGCCACCTCCCCCGCCGCCGCCACCACCACCCCCACCGCTGCCACCTGCCCCTCCAGTCGCGCCACCACCCCCACCGCCACCACCTCCCCCACCATCGCCTCCCCCGCTGTCACCGCCACCGCCCTTGCCCCCTTTTCCCTTGCCGCTGCGGCGCCCGCTCGAAGCAGACGCGCTCCTGACCCTTTCAGCACCAAGGAGGTCGACAGCAGCAGCAGAGGCGACAGAGGGAAGAAGGGGGGAAGGAGAACACCCCTCAAAGAACGGGGTACGGAGGTCGCCACAAGAGGCACCTACAGCGACTATGCTAGCCTTAGCTGCAAGGAGTTCCTTCTCAAGGAGGGCAATGGTGAGCTCAGTGGGGCAGCGAGCTAGGAAGTGGTCCCGGACTGAGCGCAGAGTGTCAGGGAGGCGGGTGACTAGGTGGTAGAGAGTGAGCTAGAGCGGGGGAGGGTTCTTGGCAAGGAACTCATCAGGCATGGCGGCGCAGAAGCGAGCCTCACTAGTACGGAGGTGCGTAATGAGGTCAGCCACTGTGTGGAACGAGGCTAAGTCGGGGAACAGGTAGGGAAGAGAGAGACGGCCGAGTGCGGCAGAGGTCGGTGAGGAGTAGCGGGCAACGACAGCAGTGTACAGTGCCTGTGCAGTCTTGTGCTGCCCAAAGTGCTCACGCTCATCTATCGGCAGGGAGTTGCGAATAGCGAAGCGAGCGTGGGCGTCACGAGTCTGCCAATGTGAGCGGGCAGTGCTGTCAGCAGTAGCAGCAGGAGCAGTAGCGTGGCCTAGGGCGTGATCGTACAGTGAGATGTCTTCCTTGGCAGTGAGCTGTAGGAAGAGGTGTAGGTCATCAAGCCAGGTTTCGAACTTCACTGGGCGGCCCTCAGCATCGAAAGCTAGCACAAGAGGGCTAGCCATAGCAGTAGTAAGAGTAATAGCAGCAGTAGGAGGAAAAGCAGTAGGGGCACCCAAAGACAGGTACGGCGGCTCGGTCCAGTACGAGCGGCGCGGCTCGGTTCAGGTAGGGCGGCGCGGCTCGGTAAGGGCGGCGCGGCTAGGTTCGGGCGGCGCGCCTCGGTTTGGGCTGGGCGGCTCGGTTCGGGCGGCTCGGGTTGGGCTGGGCGGCTCAGTTTGGGCTGCTCGGGTCGGGCGGCTCGTTCTGGGTGGGGCCGTTCGGGGCCTGTAGGGGTGAGCGCGGGGCCGATCGGGGCCTATAAGGGCGAGCGCGGGGCCGTAAGGGGCCGCTAAGGACGAGCGCACGGCCGATCGGGGGCCGCTAAGGGCGAGCGCGGGGCCGATCGGGGCCTCTAGGGGCGAGCGCGGGGCCGTAAGGGGCCGCTAAGGGCGAGCGCGGGGCCGATCGGGGCCTCTAGGGGCGAGCGCGGGGCCGTAAGGGGCCGCTAAGGGCGAGCGCGGGGCCGATCGGGGCCTTTAGGGGCGAGCGCGGGGCCGTAAGGGGCCGCTAAGGGCGAGTGCGGGGCCGATCGAGGCCTCTAGGGGCAAGCGCGGGGCCGTAAGGGGCCTCTAGGGGCGAGCGCGGGGCCGTAAGGTGCCGCTAAGGGCGAGCGCGGGGCCGATCGGGGCCTCTAGGGGCGAGCGCGGGGCCGTAAGGTGCCGCTAAGGGCAAGCGCGGGGCCGATCGGGGCCTCTAGGGGCGAGCGCGGGGCCGTAAGGGGGAGCCGCTAAGGGCGAGCGCGGGGCCGATCGGGGCCACTAAGGGCGAGCGCGTGGCCGTTTGGGGCCTCTAGGGGCCGAGAAAAACGAGGCGCCCTAGGGCGCAATTAGGTAGGTAGGTAGTGGTGGGCCCTAAAAAACGGTCCTAGCGAAGGACGTGCTCTATACCATGTTGAAATGAACAAGCAGGAATGATTGAACTAACAGTGAAATGAGTACAAGTACCTAACCCTAGAATTGTGTACCCCCTATAGGCTAACCCACTGTAGCCTAAACAAGCACAACATATATAATGTTTGACAGGTGTAGTTGGCTGCTGTGGTGTGAGTGGTTTCCGTCCGTAAGACAGGAAGAAATGAGTTTTCCCTGTGGCCACATGTGATGCGTTGTTGTAAGCGAATTCTAGGGTCGGTAACTGTGTGTCCTAGTGGCTGACGTCGTCCTTGCAAGCTGTGCGTAGTAACTGTTCAACCACTTGATTAAGTCGCTCTGTCTGTCCGTCAGTCTGGGGGTGGTATGCTGAAGACATTGCAAGCTTTGTCCCCAACAGTCCCATGAGCTCCTTCCAAAACTTAATGGTAAATTTTGGGTCTCTGTCTGAGATGAGTGTATCGGGGATGCCGTGGATGGTGATGATGTGGTCGAAGAAGAGGCGAGCAGTTGCTTCAGCTGTAGCTGTGGAGTTGGCCGGTATGAAGTGACCCATTTCGGAGAACTTATCGATGACTACGAGGATGGAATCATGTCCCCGTGAGGTCGAAGGAAGTCCTGTGATGAAGTCGAGGCTAACGACCTGCCATGGCTGCTCCGGTACGGGTAGAGGCTGAAGTAACCCTGCTTTTTTCTGCTTGCTGCTCTTCATCCGCTGGCACGTGTCGCAAGAGGTGACAAACTGCTGCACGTCTGCTGCCATCCCGGGCCAGTAGTAATACTTCGCTATCCCTGCTAACGTCTTGTTGCTCCTGAAATGTCCCGCGTAAGGTACGTCGTGAAACTCCTCCAATAGGATCTGCCGTAGTGGGGCGTAATTCGGTACCCAAATCTTTCCTGAACCCTTTCTTACAGCTAAGTCTTTCTCCCACTGTAACAACTTCTTGGTCTGTGCTGTAGCGATTTCTGCGTCCACGGAGTACCCATGTTGGAATAGACCCTTGAGCAGAGGGTTCATCCCGTCAAGCTGGATGCCTGCTACATGTCCGGGGCGGCTCAACGCGTCTGCCTTGTTGTGTAGCCCGGGCTTGTAGACGATGTCGTAGTGGAAGTGAGTTTCCAGGAAGTCCACCTACCGCACCTGTTGTCGTAAGAGCGTCGGCTGCGACTTCAGGTATTTGAGACTGCAGTGGTCAGTATAGACTGTAGTCTTGGCTCCCTTTAGGTAACACCTCCACGCCTTGAAGGCTATGACTATCGCTAAGGCTTCCTTGTCATGGATGGGGTAGTTCAATTCTGCTCCGTGTAGCTTCTTACTGAGGTAGGCGATGGGCTGCAAACCGCGTCCGTGATCCTGCATCAGTACTGCTCCGCCTGCTTGGTCACTAGCATCTGCTTCCACCACGTAGTCCTTGTCTGGATCCGGCAAGATGAGTACTAGCGCTGTAGCCAGTGTTGTGTGTTTGTTCAGTGCGCGGTAGTCGATGCACATCTGTAAACTACCGTCTGGCTTTGGAGTGAGGAGAACTGGTGCACCGTAGGGAGAGCTGGATGGGCGGATCAGTTGTCTGTCCTGTAGATACTCTATCTGTTTTTTCATGTCTGTCAGTTCAGTCGGACTCAGTCGGTATGGTGCACGTGAGTCGGGTTCCGCACCTGGTTCCTCCACGATCTCGTGCTCGTGGGTGCGTGTTGGAGGTACGCCTGCGGGTAGGTCGTCGGGCATTATATCCTTGTATTGCTCCAAGAACTCCTCCTCTGCTGCTGCCATAACCAGTGCTAAGTAACCCGTGTTTGTTTCGTTCATTGTCCGTTCGAACCGTGCCAGTGTCGTTTCAGGAATGTTCCCTGTATCCGTCCAGCTTCGCAGCTCCACTCGTTTCCCGTTGTTGTTGTTGCACACCTTCCTGCTGACCCAGTCGATCTCGGGGTTGAACCGCTTCAAGAAATCTTGCCCCAAGATGAAATCTAAGCCCTTGATGTTCGTGATCGGCAACGTCGGCTTCCACCTCAGCGCCCCTATGTGCAGCTGCAGTGATGCTTCGCCGTGGATGGGAAGTTTCGTACCGTCCACCATTGTTGCCAAGAACTTGGTCTCCTCCGAAAATTCTCCAATTTTCTCCAACGTCCCGCGGTCGCACACCGAGTGGGACGCACCACTGTCCACCATTGCCTGGAGGCGTCGCCCGTTGCAGATCACCTCGAGTAGTAGTGGTTTTTTCTGCTCAGAGTAACCGTAGATGGTCTCGCTTATAGGATCGTAGGGTACGTCAAATAGATCATCCCTCGGTCCTGCGCTCGAAGCTGCTGACTCCATATCAGTTTCCAACTGAGCAGGGTTAGAAGGATTTGTCCGAGGCCGATTCAGCTTCGTCTTGGCCTGAAACCTTCCCTTAAGCCTTTGCAGCTGTGTAGGCTTCTCCTGTGGGCAATGGGGAGCCTTAACACTATGCTGCGGGGAGAGAATATGAACTCCTTGGAACGCACGACCCTTTTCAACTCTCCGGAGTGGTTTGCCCAACTTCTTTGGTACCTGAATAATTTCTAAAGGCTTTTTCTTGGCCTTGAAATCTCCCCTGAATTTTTTAAAGGCTTGAAAACCTCGAGAGGGAATATTCTTACTCTCAAGGGTGTTCGGCTGGAGTTTCCCGGTCGGTGCAGAGTCTTGTTTTGCGGAGCCTCCATTTGTCTCGACGATTTCCCCTGTCGCTGGCCGGTCATGGCGTTTTAAATTCGCGCCATCATGTCCTCCTTTTTTCGCCATCGTGGATGTCGCACTATTGTTGCCCTGCAGCTCCGCTCGTGCCTTCTTCATTTTCCAACACGCCAAGAATCGATGTCCTGCTGCACCGCAAAATTCGCAGTTCTCATATTTTGTTGGCCGCTGCTTCGCGTCGATCTTGTCGATATCCATTGGGTCGGCGGTTGTGGGTGGTGCCGATCGCTTCGTGCCAAATGATCTGTTGGGCACGTGGCGTCGTGTCTTGTGCTCACATCGCATTAGCGCATCGAATCTCTCTGCTGCACACACCATGTCACGGTAGTTGTTGTAGTTTGCGGCAATCTCCTGTCGGCGGACTTCTATCTTTATCCCCTCAGTATACGCTTCGATTTTTTTCCCCTTTGGTCAGGTCGATAATCTGGTTGAAGAGGCTCTCCATGTGCTGCGTGTAATGTGTTACACTGCCGAACTGTTTATGCCAATGAATCTGCTGCCGCGCCATGTAGCTGGAGTTGATTGATTCGAAACGTCGAATTAAAGCTTCCAGAAATTGCGTCCATGACCCCTCGCCTCGGATCTTATTGCTGTTGTAAATCCACTCGAGCGCTGGGCCTCGTAACAGTGTTGCTGCGAGCCGAATGCGCATTGCATCGTGTGTCGGGGTCGTACAGCCAACGGTCTCGAAGTAAATTTCGAAAGTCGCAATGAATCGACGAACGTCAGTGTCTCTCGCATTCGGATTGAACGTTTCTGGTAGCCTCGGATGTGTCGCCTCAAGATTCACTGTAGCCGCTGCCACTGCTGATTGGTTAAGTGTCGGTGTCGCCACTGCTGCTGCTGACGTCGCTGCTGCATTCGCCGCTGCGTTCGCTGCTGCTATGGCGGCTGCCGACTGGTTCGCGAGAAGCTCCTCTATTCGCTGGAGTGCCGCTCGCGTCTGGTCCAGGCCGGTGTGTAACTCCGTAATTTTCCGTACGGAATTATCAATGTTTTCCTCCATTTGGCGATTTATGGGAAGATTTGCGACGAAAATAAATGAATTTTAGGCGCTGGTCATCTTACTGTGAGTCGAGTTGACTGCAGAAATGACGAGGGCTGATTCTGTAGATCGCGTCATTCTCCCTTAGTCGAAATTCACGTCTGATCTCGGCCGTTGAGAAGAAATTCGATCCGACCCTCCAAATTCCAACTTGTTTGGGCGAAATACTCGAGGCCGTTGAGATTTGAATCGATCCGACGGTCGAAATTGCAACTTTTTCGCCACTGGACCTGAGGAGTGTTCGAAAACCGGTTCGAGGGGGACGTTAGAAAATAGCGCGGAACTGGTTTACGTACCCGAAATCGGCGCTTTCCGTCGTCGCCCCCGCGGTTT